AGCCCTGTAAGACATAAAATTGAATGAGTTTTTAACCTTTAAAAAAAGATTGCCTTTGATTCCAGCACTTGGGAGTCAGAGGCAGACGGATCTCTGTGAGTTCAAGTCCAGCCTGGTCTACATAGTGAGTTCCAGGACAGCTGGGGCTACAGGGAGACCCTGTCTCAAAAAGACAAAAAAAAAAAAATCTCCATTTCATTTTGAACTATATTGTTCCTTGCAGAAAGACTCATTGTTTTTGCTATTAACACTGAAATGTTGGTGCATGCATCTCTAATCTGGGATGTTCTGTGTGATACACACACACACACACACACACACACACACACACACACAACCAACAAATTAAAAAAAGTATTATATTTGAGGAGGAAGCATGGAAATTTACATCATGTTAATTAGTAGAGGTGATAAACATTACCACTGACATCTACCCAATGACTTTATAGACATACACAGGTGCCAAGGATTCAAGTGCAACCGATTATGACTAGTAATAGATACATACTGAAACTACTTTTAACAGGTGCTATTTAAACTGAATGACACATAACGCTTCAGAAAATGACATTGATACCTACTTCTTCCCTCCCTCTCTACTCCCTACCACAGACTTCTCAATGGATTCCAACTGGCTCCCAAGTTTTAAAAAATTCCACTTTTTGACTAGCTGGCTAAATGCACAGCATCAGGTTCATACATTACAGTCATATTTGGGCTGGCAAATCGTGCTGTTGAGTTTTGCCCCAACCACAAAGTACACCTGCTGCATTGTTTGGTAATGGGATGAAGGAGAAAAGACGTTCCAAGAGTCAGCCTGTACTGCGGGGTCACGAACACAGGTGACTTCCAGGTGGTGCCAAGCACAGGAGGGAAGAGGACCTGGTGGAAACCAAGGTCACCAGACCCGGCAGACTGTCCCAGTGGGAAAGTTCTTCATTTAAGCCAGGACTTCAGGTCTTGTGGTTGTCAAGGGAAGATAGAAATCCAGAAATTTTCAAGACTGACTTTTAAATGTTGACTACCAAGTCTGCTGACTTTTAAATGTTGAATACCAAGTCAAACAATATTAAAATACTGGAGCTAATCCCTGGCCTGCAGTGGCGATGGAGCATGGAGATGGGGAGCATGACACTGGAAGAGTTGACAGTGGTCAAGGTGGAGCTGCTTCAGTTTCCCCCACGAATTTCCCAGGGTCACTGACCAATAGCAGTCATGTGGTTACACTTGCCTTGGTGCCTCAGGCTGTCATTATTGAGGGCAGACTTGAATCAGAGGACCAGGGGCCTAGCTGAGGGCTATTCTGGACACAAGCTTCTCCACTTGGCTGGGTGTCTGCGTTTTGTGATAAGGTCAGAGGAGAACAGAGTTCCTGGTTCCCCAGGATCAGGGAGGATATGGGTATCACCCCATTCTCCACTTGAGCTTCTGTGTAGGTATGTCCCCAAAATTGAAGGGCTGCATTCTTGGTTATCAGTGAGTGCAGCCATGTGCTGGCATTTACCTTCGTTCCCGCTTCCTGAAGCATTGCCTTCTGAGGTGGATGCCCTGTTAGAGTCGGTGCTGCCCTCTCTTTTACCTGAACCCAACAAGAATTCTACAAAATGGGAAAGGCGCATGCCTTTAATTCCAGCACTCGGGAGGCAGAGGCAGGCGGATCTCTG